CTCACAGAAGTGGTGATTAGGGTTGAACAGCGCCTTGCATGAGCTCCTTCCACCAGGAGATTAACTGCCAAATTAAAAAGTATTAGAAGTAAGAGGGGAAAGTGGGGGACAGACAGCTCAGTCATGCTGATCCAGATGGAGATTTAAGCAGTCACTCTTCACACATAGATTTGTTTCTAATTTTTACAACTAAAGATTATTAGTATAACCCAGAAACACTGGTTCTGATATGAAAACAGTACAACAGGTTAAACAGCTTACTCATTACCTGGAAGATTATTATAGTGAAAATACAATATAGTTTTGAAACGAAATGGTAATTATATTCTATGCATCAAGCGAAGAGATTCTCTGACATTTAACTATTAATGAATAGAAAATGAAAACAGCTATGTAGTCATCAGAAGTCATGACAGTTTTGGAACTCGAAAGGACAGTATTATTGAGAGTATCATAAGAGCAATTCATTCACTGGCGTTGAGACGCTGAGTGTGGTTTCCAGGAAGGAGCCTGGTGATGCCCCTCGCGCTGCAATGGAATCACTGCCTCTAGCACGGCTCAACTCAAAACAAAGCCTGAACACTATTTCCCCTTTTTTGTAAAAGTCAAAATCCTCTCTGGATTTCTTTCAGTTAGTGAAAACAGATACTAAAGTAGGTCTTTCGTAAAAGTGAAGTGGCATAACGCAAACTCTTAAAAAGTAGGGGTGCCTATATGTATTGTCATTATTTTTTAGGGAGTGAGGAAGGGAGAGAGAGCTAGAAACATCAATGGGAGAGAGAAACATCAATCGTCTGCCTCCTGCACACCCCCCACTGGGGATCGAGCCCACAACCCGGGCATGTGCCCTGACCAGGCATCAAACCGGGACCTTGCAGCCATGCGACAATGCTCATTCCACTGAGCCACATTGGCTGGGCTATTCTTAATCTTCATGCAGGATGAAGAATAATTAAATGAGGTCTGAGCAAGTCAGCATCTAACAAGTGAAAGAGTACAGTTAGATGAAATTATTTAGAATAGAGAGTAGTACTTAGTGAAGCACTAAGCAAGAATCAGAGAAAGGATGAGAGGGTATAGGTCTCAGATGAGAAAAAAGGAGACAAAAGAAAAGATTCAAGAAAAAACTTACATAGTTAGTCTATTCCCAGTTTTACTGTAATATTTCCCAAATGAAATAATATGCAGCTGCTGCCAAAATGATCCCTAACGTGTCCTCGGCCATGATCCAGAAGTTCGTGGAGGTAAGCTTGCCAAACTCGGTCCATCTGTAGGTTCTGAATCGACCCAAGACTGGGCTCCAGTCCCTCCCAGCTGCAGTTTGTGAGTAGTCCTGCTGGCACCAGAATCTGGCAAGAAACACTCCCATATCAGATGAAATTAGGGCAAGCACTTTTTCTGACTCCAATAATATGGAACTGGAAATCAATAACAGACTGACTCCAATAATATGGAACTGGAAATCAGTAACAGAAGGACAACTGGAAAAATTAAAAATTGTGGAAATTCAACAGTATTCTTCCAAATAAACAATGGGTCAAAGAAGAAACCAAAGAGAAGACAGAAAGTATATTCAGACAAAACCCAAATCACAGCATACCAAAACTTCTGGGATGCAGCAAAACTAGTTCTAAAATGGACGTTTATAGCAATAAATAGCTATATTAAGAAAAGGGATCTCAAATAAACAACCTAACTTTACACCATAAGCAATTAGAAAAGAACAAACTAAGTCCAATGATAGCAGAAGTAAATAATAAAGAATAGAACAAACATAAATAAGACAGAGACTAAAAAATGCAACAAATAAATAAAACTAAAATTTTTTTCAAAAGGTAAACAAATGGACAAACTTATAACTAAAGTAACCAAGATCAGAGAACACTCCAGTAAATGAAATTGTAAAAGTAGGATACAAAGTATCATAAGAGGCTACTAGGAGCAATTGCATGAAAACAAATAGAAAAAACTAGATTGAAATGAATAAATTACTAGAAACATAAAACCTACCAAGGCTGAATAATGGAGAAAAAGAAAATCTGAATAGACCATAATGACTAAGCAGTTGAAGCAGTAATCAAAAACATTTCAAAAAAGAAATGCCTAGCATCAGACAATTTTACTGATAAATTCAACCAAAAATTTAAAGAATTAATGGAACGCTTTCTTAAATTCTTCCAAAAAAATTGAAGGGGAGGATATACTATGAAATTCATTTTATGAGACCAGCATTACAATGATATGAAATTCAGATAAGGGTACTACAAGTTAAAAAACAAAACAAAACTACAAGCCAATATATCTGAATACAGATTTAAAAATTCTCAACAAAATACTAGCAAAATATAAAATTCTCAACAAAATACAACAGCACACTAGAAAAATCATACACTCTGTCCAGCCAGTGTGGCTCAGTGGTAGAGGCTGACAGTTCGATTCCCAGTTGGGGCATATACCTAAGTTGTGGGCCCAGCCCCAGGGGGGGACATGCAGGAGGCAGTCATTTGATGTTCTCTCTCATCAATGTTTCTCTCTCTCTCTCCCTCGACCTTCCTCTCTCTAAAATCAATAAACAAAAATAATTTTTCTTTAAATGTGTATACTCTGATCAATTGGTAATTATTCTTGCAGGAGGCAACTAATGGATGTGTCTTTCTCATATCATTTCTCTCTCTCTCTCTCTCTCTCTCTCTCTCTCTCTCTCTCTCTTCCTCCCTCTCCCACCTTCCTCCCTTTCTATCTGAAAATCAATGAAAAAATATCTATGGTGAGGATTAAGAAAAAAAAAAAGAAATAATTTTTAAAATTGCAAAGGATGGAGGTCAGGAAGCCTCAATTCTGCTTTCAACACCACCACTTAACAAGCTTCTAACTTTGGGCAAATTATCTTTCTTCACTTGGTCATTCAAATTAGAAATAATATCTTCCCTGTTTTCCTCACTGAGATTTAATAATAACCAAATAAAACATATACATGAAGTTTTGTTAAACCTAAAAAATGAGAAATGGATCTGAATACCTATTTTTCCTAAGAAGAAATGCAAATGGCAAACAGGTACATAAAAAGATACTCAACATCACTTATTATCAGAGAAATGTAAATCAAAACGGTATCCCCTATGCCTGTTAGAATGGCTGTTATCAAAAAGACGTGAGACAGCAAGAGTTGGCGGGGTGTGAAGAGGGAACCCTTGTGTGCTGTTAGTAGTAATATAAATTGGTACAGCCACTATGGAAAACAGCAGAGGTTTCTCAACATATTAAAAATAGAACTACCATTTTTCTTTAGTCTCTATGTTTTCTAATAAAAATTCTGCTGTGTTTCAAATAATTGTTCCCCTATGGTAAAAAATCTGGCTGCTTTCAGATTTATATTATGTCTTTAGTATTCAGTAGTTTGAACATGCATTTCTTTGGGTTTACCCTGTTTAGAGGGTGCTCAGCTTCTTGAATCTGCAGATTTATGTATTTCAGAAGTTTTCAGTCATGATGTAATTATAGAGAAAGATCATTTACAATAGCAACAAAGAAGATTATACTTCAGAATAAATCTAACAAGAAATATATGAAGCCTATAGAAGAAAAATGTTAAAACACTCATGAAAGACATAAAAGTAGTCTTGAAAAAAATGTAAAGACATTCCCTTTTCTAAAATTGATTCAACATTCTAAAGGTGTAGTTCTCTCTACATTTATAAATTCATGAAATCTCAATAAAAATACCAACAAGCTATTTTATGGAGCTACATAATTTAATACTACATTCACATGGAAAAGTAAACATACAAGAATAGCCAGGAGCACACTGAGAAAGAAAAATTACAAGGTGAGACTAGCTGTAACAATCTTTAAAATATACTATAAAATCTGTATAATTAAAAATTTCATATTAGCACATGCATAGACAAGTTAACCACTGGTATAAAAATACAATATCAGAAATACACCCTAATGCATATGCTAATTTAGTATATAATAAAGGAGGTATCTCAAATGGATCAAAAAGTTTAGATCTATACCTCACATAATAACAAGAATAATCTATAGATGGATTAGGGATCTAAATGTTTAAAAGGAAACCCATACGAGTTCTAGAAAGCAAGGTTGGATGATTTCCTCTTTAAATCTGGTATAAGGAAAAGCCTTTCTAACTATGATTGAAAATCCAAAGGCAATAAATTTTAATGCAGTTGACTATGCTAAAATAAATAAACATAAATAAACAAGACAAAAGATAACTGACACATTGCAAAGATATATTATTAACAAATACTACAAACCAAGGACTAATTTCCCTGATATATATCAAACACAGGACCAAAAACCTGACAGAAAAATGGGAAAGAACATGAGAGTTCCTATCACTGGTACAACTTGAGCAATAAAAATAAATAATGTTACTGCATAATATCATAAAAATAAAATTTAAATATACATAAGTCCATATATCTATATCTGTGTGTGTGTTTGTGTAGTACAGAGATTTCCTAGATACTCTTCAACTTCTGACATAACTATAGTACAATTATCAAAACCAGGAAAAAATGTAGGTACAATACTGTTAATAAAATTATCAACCTTATACGAGTTGTACAACTTGTGCAATATTTTGATGTCTAAAATTCAAAACAGAAAACTTCTTTTAAAAGTTGTGGAAAAACTATGCTTATATAGTGATAGAATACAGATGATAAAACCTGTTGCTAGGGGTCAGAGGGTGAGTGAAAAAACTGATTTACACAGGCAGCACATGGAAACTTTTCTGGATGATGAAATGCCTATATCTTTGTTGTGTTGGTAGTCACATGACAATAAGTTGTCAAAACTCACTGAACTATAGAGATAAACTGGTGAAATTTGTTATATGTAAACTATACCTCAATAAGGCTGACAAAAACAATTCTAAATGTAAATATCACCTTTAATCTGCTTTATGTTGCAATCCCAACATAAGCAGAATGGAGAAGAGTGATACCGGAGAAGATTATGGATGCTCTTACCAGATTGATTAACTGAGTGTGCACCACATCTTCCACCAAAACTGCTGTTTCATGCAAAGGCCTCCTAGCATCGCCTAAAGAAAACCTGAAAAATAATAAAAAATAAATTAACCACACCAATATTAAGAGTTGTAAAACTGAGAAAGGAAAAGGTAAAAGATATTTAGTACAATAATTGGTTTAATAAAGTACAAATTGTTCTCTCAAATAACGGAGTAGAGGTACAATTTTCTACAGATAAAGAATTGCATCTCTCCTATATAAGCTGAAAGTTCCAGAAAAAAAATGTGCAGTTATCTATTCTATTTCTCGATTTGTAGAGTCATTTTTAAGGGTATTTACTATTTCAAAATGCAAAATATTAACAACCACTTAACACTGGCAACCATATCCAAAATCATGTTACCATATCCAAATTGCCAATAACTATAATAGCCATACAGAAAATTATAATAGTATATAATGTAATTAAAATGAAAGTTGCTAAGAAAAATTTATGTAAATACTATAAATTATCATGTCAAATTATACACAGGCCAATTATCAAGAATGGATTACAGAACTGTTCTTAAAAGTCCTATTCTCAACTTTCAAATGGTGGACTAGATGTTCAGAGAATCACTTTCTGGTAAAGAACATTTAAAATTGCACAATACTATATTAGAAATTTAAATTTAAAGCATGCTTTAACCAGCAGTAGGGAAGACAAAACAGAAGTCAGACATGATGAGAAAATACAGTTCCACAGGATAAGAGAGCCCTGCAGCCAAAATTTATTCATAGAAACCTACAGCCTGGATTTCAACTAGCGTAGTACTCATGGTGCAGGAAAGAAGGCCAGGATCCCCAGCAAGGCAAGTCAATTTGCAGAACCTTATATTGAGAAAAGGAAAACCCAGATGGTGTTAACTTCAGTGCGTGAACTAGGAAAATACCTATTCCACAGTAGGCACTTTGTCTACAGCACCCAAGGCTATCAGTGAAGAGAAAAAATGTGGTACTGTTTTGAGAGGCCAGCCAGCCAAAAAAATAAATAAAGAGATGAAAAATAAAGCCTTACATATATGGTCAACTGATTTTCCATAAGGGTAGAAAGAACACCTAATTTGGAAAGGACAGTCTTTTTGATAACTGGTATGGGGGAATGAACTCAAAATAGATCAAAGACCTATAATAAAGAGCTAAAACTGAAAAACTCTTAGAACAGAGGGAGAAATCTCCATGACCTACTTGGCAGTATTTTGTTGTTGTTGTTTTTCCATGGTATTTTATTTATTTAAAAATTTTTTAATGTTGATTCGACATTACTGCAGGAGTCCCCCCACTCCACTCTTTGCCACCTCCCTGCCCCCCTGCCTCCCCCACTTCCTTGGCCTTTACCAAATTATTGTCTGTGAGCACCGGGTCTTGCGCATGAGGCCAAAAGTACAGGCAACAAAAGAAAAAATAAACAAAGTGGACTGAATCAAAACTAAATCCTTTTATACCTCAGACACTATTAAGAGAGTGAAAATCTTCTGTTGTATTCACTAATATATATACAGTATTAAATTCTTTGGACTGCATGAACAAAGTTTCTCTTCCATTATTTTAAGTTACTTGATATCCTACTAGAAAAAGTTAAAAATTATCAAAGTGAAATGACTGACTAAAAGATAAAACAGCAAATTCAAATTATATCTGTAGTAAACAGAACATGTGTTTTTAAAATGTTTTTACTAGAGAAATGAATGGAATTTGCTGTTTTATCTTTTAGTCAATTGGATTGTTTCAGTCAATTGGATTGTTACAAACTGAGCAATAAAAATAATGATATTAGACCATAATATCCTAAAAATAAACTTTAAATATACATTAATGCATACATACACATACACACACTCTTATGAGCACACACACACACACACACACACACACAATAAAATACTATTAAGCCATAAGTAAGAATGAATCTTGTCATTTGCGAGAAAATGTTTAGACCTTGAAGGCATTATGTTAAGTGAAATAAGTCAGAAAGAAAAACACAAATACTGTGATCTCACTTATATTTGGAACCTAAAAAACCAACAAACAAAACAAAGTTCACCGATACAGAGAACTGACTGGTGGTGGGGTGTGTGTGTGAAATAGATGAAGGGAGACGACAGGTACAAATTTCCAGCTATGAAGTAAGTAATGGGGATGTAATGAATAACATGGAGACTACAGTTAACAATACTGTACTGTGTATTTGAAACTTACTGAGAGAGTAGATCTTAAAAGTCCTCAACATAAAAAAAAAATTTTGTAACTATGTATGATAACAGATAACTAGATTGATGTAGTGATCATTTCTCAATGTACACAAATATTGAATCATTATTTTGTACACCTGAAACTAATAATGTTGTATGTCAATTTTACTTCAATTTAAACCAAAGAAAAGGTATCTTTTCAGATATTTGATTTTAGCCTAAGAAAGCAGCTATAATCCTTACATTCTAAAAATTTCTGCCTTCAAGAATTATAAGAAAATTGTATTTAAAAAAGATCACTTCTGTAAGAAAAGTCTTGTAAGAAAACTAAATTGAGTAACTGGATAACAATCATGAAATTAAGAAGAAATACAGTGTTAAATGTATAACAGAATGAAAAACATGAATAAAAACAAATGGAAAAAAGGGCAATAAGGCTATAATTTATTCTTGCTCTATATATATAAAAACATTCCACTGCCCTTAAAGATTTTTTTTCTTTAAGTCTAAAGTAGTGTTTGTACTTGTGGATATTTTCACGAGATTTTATATTATAATAATGATCCAAACATTATTCAGTGTATTAACAGGTCCACTTGGGTTTAAAATACTTGTTTTCACATTTCCAAGCCCTGACTAAGAACAGAGTGAAGGGCTGATTAACTTTTAATGAAAGGAATCCTTTAATAAAAGAGATCCTTACACAATATGTATGTATATCAAGTCATCACATTGTACACTTTAAATATCTTACAATTTTATTAGTCAATTATACCTCAATAAAGCTGGGGGTGGGGGGGAGATTCTGAAAAAAAAGCCAAGAGTGTAAGTTTGGTAACAATCCGTGGAGAGAACCTGCTGGGCCCGTCAAGAACACAAGCCCACAAGCAGATTTGCGCATCCAGGATCCAAACATAAAGAAAGGACAAAGAGACGTTTCTTTACTGCCATGTGTGCGTCTTCTTCTTGGATGCTGAGTTGCTTTCAGTACTTACCACTGGCTACAAACTCTAATGTGGTTAAATTATTCTGGATGCTGTGGTTAAGTAATTGCTGTGGTCTTGGGAGTTTGTTACTTTTTTTTTTTTAACTTCTAGTTTTTTGGACGTTTTTCTACCTAAGGTAATTGACATTACTTTGGAGTGGACACCGTGTGACTACTGCTTGGTGTAAGAAGGCCCTGGGTGACTTTCTGTCCCCCAAAGCAAGTTTCCTTTTACCCTACAAACTACTTATTTTATTATACTTTCATAGGTTAGGTATTACTATAATACCCAGGAATTTCTCCTAACTGGAATTAGAGTGAATAGCAGGCTACAGACCTCATTACGCTCTAGTCAGCTAACCTGGCACTAGACAGCACTTGCAAACACAGACATCATACTGTTTATGTCATTCTGACCCAATATTTTTTGAGAATGATTTATCTTTACCACTGTCCAAAGTGGGGTGGGGGGGAGGGTTAGGGCAGTGCATAAGTTTGCTATAAGTCATTTAAGGCAATCAGACAGTTATAAACACATGAACGTTATCCTTCCATTGTCATTACCTCTAACTTTCATATAGGTCAGTTATTTTATCTGTTTTTCAAAGGAAAAAGTGAAGTCAATTAACATTGGCTCTGAAAGGTCAAACTGATAAGTAAATTAAAATATCAAATGAATACCTAGGACAACAGTTTTTCTAGCAATTATCAATTTTCTCATTGCTTATTTGATTTTTAACATCCATTTCGTCCACTCCTTTGCTACAGTATATATTCATATATAACTTAAATGGACTTTGAGAATCTTTTTAGAATTTTATAACACTCCATGAAATAAGAAAATATAAGAAAAGCAAGATTATAAAATTATCATTCATGATATATAAAATTTATAATACTAATGTGAAAAAAATACAAACATATATAGATATATTTGTTTAAAATGAAGTAAAAGTATAGACAGGGTAAAACTTTAAAAAAAGAAAACACTTATATCACCTATGGGTATTAATTACACAATCAATAATTGCTTACTGAGTATCTAGTATGTTTCGGGCACTGTTATAGTTTCTTAGAATGGTCAGTGAACAAAACAGGTTAAAAAACAAACAAACTAGTAGAGTCTGCATTACAAAAAGGAAAGGACACAAAAAACAATAAATGTAATATAATAAATTACTAAATAAATTATTTGTATGTTAAAAATATGATATAAGATCAAAGAAAACAAGAGAATCAAGAGATGAGAAGTGTGGGACCGGGAAAGGGAGGCAATGTGAAATTTTAAATAAGCACTATTAATTTTTCATGTATGGAAGAAATACCTTTAAACAAATGGGAAGGAGAAAAAATAAATTAGATAATTTTGTAAAAACCAAAGACTTACCTAGGAAAGCTCACCTAGAATTATCACAGCACAAGGCATGAGAATGTGCATCTGAGGAAGTTTACACAAATGATATATGCATACGAATTTCTTCTAACAATTCAGAGCAATTTTTCTCTTATATCTTATATTCCCAAGAAGCAAATATCCCCATATTCAAACTGTAATAAATAGCAGCATAAAGCAAATGATTCCTTATTAGAGGAATAGGAAAGATAATGGATGAGAAGTACACCAATTACTGAATGTTATGTCAGGAAAGGACCTAAAACATTTAGTCCATTCATCTTATTTTAATAAGAAGAAAAATGAATGTCAGAGAAGTTAAATAACCATCTCATGGCTACAAATCCAGTTAGAGGCAAAGAGTAGGCCTTTTATTTCGTCTAGAAATAAATTCCTGCAATATCTTGTTAAATGAGTAAAAACTGTAACAAATTAGACAGACAAGTCTTAAGTGCTCATATACCAAAGATTAA